CCCCCCCCCCCCCCCCACTCCCCACCCAAACTAGACAAGCTGAGTCCATTCGTAGCAGTAGCGGCGAACTAAAGGTATCTGCAGTAAAATCCGACAATTATGCCCCTGTAAGCAAAATAGTTTTTATTGGAACGTAGAATTCAAATTTCTGTTCAAAGAAATGCCATCTTCCTCAAAACTAATTTTTCGACATTTTTTCTAAGATGGTGTACGATAGGAATTAACGTATTCTTTAAAAAACTTGTGTAAAATCCTTTTAGATTTAGAAAAATAAATATCTTTAAGATGTTACATATTTTATGGACTTAAACATCCCGTATTCATTGCCATGAAAAGGTTCTTCATCAGCACGTTATTATAGAATGCAATTTCTGACGAGATCGTCTTACCGCAGATACGTTATGTACTCAGTAACACCCATTGTATTGCATCATATTACATACCCTTAAAAACAGATAATGACATGACATCTCGAGTAGAACACGAGTGCGTTTAAAGTCCATCACATGCTTATTTAAGCACACATATTAATCATTTTAATAACATGAACATCTACTTGCCAGATAAAGGGGGCATGACTGCTCTGATATTGGTATTATGTCTCAAGATAGGACGATAACCTCGCTCATGGAGTACCTGATAAAACCCCTCAAAGGCTTGTGGGAATATTTTCCACGTGAAAAATGCCGCCCGAAGAAGAAGATAAAGGTAACCTAACCCTTGATACATCGTTGAGGACCTCAGGTAAGATTTGCAAAATAAATGAGACATAACTGTCGTTTACAATTATGAAAAGCGCCCATTATTTTTATAACCTACAATTTAGTCTATGTTCACTTTCTTCATCTCACACTCTCTCCTTTTCTCTCCATCTTTCTTCCTCACACACAGTCATGCATTAGAAAGAACAGAAAATCAGTGTTTCTGGGAAGCAGTATAATCAAGATAATATTGCCCATACAAAAATATTTAGACAATCATAAAATAAGCACTGTTAGATGCCAAATTGGGATAATAAGTGATAACAGTTACCATGAAGCAAAGCAAAGTAATTATTAGGTACATTCCTTTACCCCCTTTTACATAGGCTTTTCCGTGCTGAAAAATGTTAATCTTTGCAAAAAATGATAATTTGCTTAAAACAAACAAATCAGGAATACCATTTTGAGATTTCAAAACACGAGAATGACAGTATCACTATGCCAAGTTCAAATGCACTTTAAGCAAAATTGTTCATTCAGCAATTGAATTTTAAAGCATCCTCAAATGTATTACACATCTAACATTTATATAAAGTAGGCTACATGTTTTCTGGGTCCCCTACTAGAACAAAGTAAGCTACATCAAGTATGTGCCCTTAGAACTACTCAGTGGACTAGAAAAATGCACAATACTGACAGTCATCATAAATTACGTGTTTTCCACCTGTGCATTGAACTACAGAGTTAATCATTTGTTATCCAACAAACAAAATGCAAAAAAGCGTTAATGTAAGTCTAATCCTGCAAAACCTCAGTCTCTGTGGAGCTGCTGACCCTTGACCTTGGATCACTTGATTCCCCCCCCTCCCCCGGCCAGACAGAGGGGGACATCCCAAGGAACACTCCAAATGCACTTAATGAATTTTGACCCTTTACACTATTGGCCAGCTTTGAGTTACTTGACCCAATTTTTACACAATGAATATTTAATATCAAAAATCTCTTTTTCTTCACATAGATTAAAATCGCTGTCTTTTGTTTCAGTCCAATAACAAGAACGTTGATAAATATTTTAGGCAAATGCAAGGCATTGGAAATGAAATACTCTAATTTTGTAAATTTATATCAGAAAGTAGGTAAAGTTACAGTCAGACAAACATTTCAATAATACTGACATTATACTACCTTTGTTCAATATTAATCATGTGCATTATTATTATTATTATTATTATTATTATTATTATTATTATTGGTAATATACATTTCAACTGGTAAGAAACACACTACAAAGCAACAGTCAGTGAAAACTTTATATGATTCTAATAAAATTATTCTTGTTTAATGAAATGTTCTGTTAATTTTTTTATTATATATTTTTAGGAGCTGTTCTTCTTCCTAGATAACCAAACAGCTGGCATGCCAAATGGAACAATAGATGCTGATACTTTGGCAGTAGAGCTGGCAGCAGGCGGCATTACCCCAGAACACACTCAGTGGGTGAGATTAATTGTGCTCATTATCTCAACTAACACAATTGTGGTGTTAATTTTGATTAATTGTTATTTATTTATGATCAGTGTTAGAATACAGTGTGTCTGGTGCTATAAATCACTTATCGTTCAAATAATTACATTTTTTTTACATCTTGTTTTCTTAGTCTCTCCTTTTTCCTAAATTATTCAGTAATATTAGACAAGGGTGACAAGTTTTGAACAAAGTACTAGTAAAATTACTCATAAAATATTCTATCTAAGCAATGAGATAAATTTGGTGTGATTATAAATTTACCATAAACATACTATAAACATGTTACACAAAAAGAGTATGTTTTTAAAAACTTAAAACCACCGTTACATAGCTGTTTACATGGCTGTTCAAAGCCAGTTTGATGACATTAATAATTACGATTAATGACAATTACATAAGACAGATCAGTTGATTACTCTGATTTTAATCACTCGCTCTTTTGTTACAGACAAAGATAGCCCCTTAGGAATAGCTTGTATGTTTAGACAGAAGCTAACTGAGGAATCTGTAGTAGCTCCCTATAGAGAGGATACAATGCCATCTGCCCACGTGCAGGTCAAAATGCTGTATGGTTTCTTAGGGTAAATTTAGGTCAAGTTAGGTGGGTCTCATAATCGAATTGTTTTTGCTCAGATTCTCCCATCTTACATGGACCTGCTATTTTTATCTTTTATCGTGAATTAAGCATGAAGAATCCCTTGAGAAAATTATGATATTTATATATCAGATATTGGTTGGGAATATATTTTTAATGACACTGCACACTGTAGCCAATGTTTCTGTCCAGCCACAAGTGCAAAATGACATATGCAGTGACGGAATTGTCAATATAGTGTAGATGTTAGCTTAGAAAAGTATGATTTATTCATTTAGCTTCAAAACGTATTGAAAAAATAACAAAAACCCATAGTCTTTCATGATCCCTCACATCTGCAGTGTTGCAGGCCATTTTATATATTTTTTTTATCAAAAATAGCACCATTCTTAAATCAGATATCAGCTGGACATCATTTTTGTCATTTTTTTCAGAAGTGCTGTTTTCTGTAATCTTTGGCTGACTTGCAATATGTAGAGGAAATACAATTTTTTCAGCTAGTAACATTCAGACATATTCACTTTTGAGACGAAGAATAAAAAAATCCATTCAAATGAAATATCGTCCTCCTTTTAACTGACCATAGGACAAATTTCCAAAATGAAATATTTAGTATAGCTTAACAAACACTACATTTAATTCATGCACCCCTTACCTTCAGTATACGAAATGTTCACTGCATAGTTTTCCTCTAGTGTGTCACACCTTCCGTCTCCATCGTCCTGTAGTCCACTTTGTTAAGCAATATGCCAAACATTAATTACTTGGTCGTTCTGGCAAAGTCTGAAAACAATTTACGACAATCAGTCAATGTTTCAGAAAACTGGCACACAATAAAAATGGCGTATAAGGGCGAATGCTGACAAAAATGTTGCCCTCTGTTCCCAAGAAGTATTTATCTACAACCACTGGAGCCCAAAAGTAAACATTTGGGTTAGTTACATGTTTGCAACCTTGTTCAAATTGAAATACTAAAGATGACGGCCATACATACAGCTAAATGGCGGCGCACACCTCCCTTGTCATCGACATACATACAGTCTAGTTTTTTAGTCATGGTGTCAAATATAGACTGGGGATTTTTTCTGACGCGGCTGCCTTATCACATTAACGTAATTTAACACCCAATATATATTCTGTAATTCATCCTATCCCCCTCTAAACAGCAAATGGCAGCGTATCTTGAGTACACATAGGACGACGTGCGTGTCTACACGTTATACATAAGTCCCATT